GAGAGAGAGAGAGAGAGAGAGAGGGAGACGAATCGGTCGGTTCGCGCATAAACCCATCGAAGAATATGTGTTATGTATACACAAACGACGTATGGGATGGACGGGACTGTCTTTGTGTGTTTACCGCATTATTGAGAGATATGACACGCTCCCGGAAGTCCATCAGATCGTAGCCGTCGTTATCGAAAATCAGCGGTCGCGGAAGATTCACTGCACGTCACCACCGGCGCAGAAACGGATTCGGCTTTCCCATCCTTAATCCTCTTCAACCGCATCCATTAGCGTGACTTTAACGTAGCAATTAAATGGAAATGTTGTTAGAGAGATGTTTCGTATCGTCGAGCTTTTCATAATGATAATGAAAATTCGAAAAGAACGACTGGACGATTTATCGAATCGATTTGTTCGTTGTTGAAATTCGAGTCTTCGCACGGTTTCGCAATTTAGGAAGGAAAAAAAAAAAAAAAAAAAAAAAAAAAAAAAGAAAGAAGGAAAGAATGAAAAGAAAAATTGTTTGAACACGCACACCGACGACCGAGACTGATTTATCGACACCGCAAAATGGAATTCTATAGTATTAGTCGCGTATATAACTCAAAGACGTTATACAATTACAATACTATTTCTGAAAGTCCACCAAGTTTCCTGTTGTCTCCAATGGAAACTTGTACAAAGCTGGTGTGCTCGCTGGGGACCAGCTTATACCGCAGTCACGTCACCGGTAATACGGCGCAAAGTCGGTCCGAAGCCGAAAGCTCGCCATTGAAGAATATCAACCAGCCCTGTGGAAGACATAATCCTTCCCGCAAGGTTTAACGTCACTCTTTGGATTAACCAAATTTATTCTTTCAAAGATGAAAGATCGGTGACTCGTGAATTCCTCTGTTTACGCTTACGCTTTTCACGCGTACTTACATTTTCGATCGGTCGGTAAACCGCGTTTCGATCGTACCGATGAAAGGAAAAAATCCATCGCGACCAACGTATACGCGTAATTAGGTACGAGTCGCATGGAACGAGTAGTATGGGACGGAATTGATCCGGCTTTACTACTACCAGCGTCTATATCGTTGCGTCTATACATCGATGCAAAGGGTGGGGAATCGAGAATTTGTTTTTTTTTCCCTTCTTTTCTTCTTTTTTCAGTTGACACTACGATTTGTACGAGAGCAACAGGCAACTTTCATTAAGCCTTTTCGAGCCAGTACTCTCCTCTTGTGTCTATCTCCTCTTCTTTCTCCCTTTCGCGTATCCCCTCACCCACGCCACGTAATCGAGATTCGCAAACACAGACTGGGTTAAAAACGCATCTATCTATTCGAAAGGGAGGAATCACGATTTCTTTGCTCGATAAAAATATTTTTCCATAAATAATCGTTATTATTTCGATAAGATTCGATATATATATCTTATCCGTGTAAAGCGTCGTTTCACATTTTTAGAACGGTATATATTATGTAGATGTGTACACAGATGAAAAAATAAAAATCGCGTTTGTATTTGGGACGAAATGCATTTAACCGACGAGTTCGAAATTCGTCCGTATTCCGGAAAGAATTGCCGGAAGCGTATTGGATATCCTATGCGCTTTAGTCTCGTTAGCATTCTATCCTTTAATTCCGTCCCGTTGTTTTCGTTCCTTTTTCTCTGTCGCAATTTCTACCGATCTCTATCGAACCACGTGCCTGTAATCGCTGAACGCTCCCATTCCATCACCCGATTCCGAAGCTATCTTCGATACGCTCCAGCTCTCCCTTGACTCAATTCCGCTTTTAATTCCTTTAATTTCGCACGCTGTCCCTGTCGCGTTAACAAACGCGTGCTGCATTAAGTTACGTTACGTTACGTGACCAAATTCGTTCATCGTCGATAAAGCGTGGCAAAATCGCGATAAGAGGCTCGCATATGCATCGCATGATTGACACCAACGTCCAGATTACCAGATGAATATATTACTTCGATTCGCGATACACTGGCCGGCTCGATGCTCGAGTAACGAAATATCTCCTCGATATTCCTGTCGGTGTGTTCCGAATTTAAATACGCTTCATATTTTCAAATTCGACCGAATGAAATCGAATCGAATCGAAACTTGCATCGCGTAAATAATCAGCCAATATTTTTAACCATTTCGCGCTTCATTCCCTGTATTACCGATTCGTTTCTAATAATAGTACTAGTAGTAACGTTGCATAAAAACTGTCTGATCCGCGCTCGCAATGCCACGTATCGTACGAGTGAAAGTTATTTCTCCGCCCGTGTGTAGATCGCATCTATTCTCGAGTATACGATCGAGTCGATTGTGCCCGTTTACGATACGTGATACGTGCACGAGTAAACGGACGGTTTTTCTCCACTCCCGTCAACCTGTTTCTCTTCTTCGCGTGTAAATAAACATGAAGGAAAATATATGCATTCGTAGAGAAAATACCAACTGGTTGCTACGGATTCTTATTCCATAACTCTTATTTCAAAATTTATTCCTTTCCTTCCTTCTCTTCGTTCTCGTTTTTCTCGTGTTTCAATCGCTCTTTCTATCGTCGCATGATCGTTCGTCTATACCGACTTAACTTTCCTCTTTTATCCTTTTTTACCAACCGAGCGAAACGACTCGATTTTTACTCGCACGGTAATCGATAATCCCTCAAGATGATGATGCCAGCCGCGCATCGAGGAAAATCAGAGAGCACGTTTTAACGATACGGTGGATCGAGTCGAAGGATCGAGCGCAATGGAAGACGATCGTTCCATCTGGATCGTATAACGGATTACACACAAAGGTCACGATCGAACGACCGCAAACAACCGCGCGACTCTTTCCTTATCTCTATCTATCCTTTTCATCGTTATGCGAGAAAGGTAGATATTTAAGCGTCGCGTTTACCCAAGGTAACGGAACACACTCGTGTTACCAGTCAAGACGCTTACAATTTTATCGCGGTAACACCCATTTCGAGCTTTACTTTCTTCTCCTTCATATCTCTACAATTTTTCTTTCCCTTTTTCTCAACGACCTTTCTCGAAACACCGTATTCTTTCGTTTTCGCTTCGAGAAAAGCGAAACTGGAGAAGAAAAGTTAATCTCGTTAATTCTTTAACTACATAATATAATAAAAGTCGAGCGATGAATGGGGCGATGAATTCGAAGAGAAACACGCGAATGTACACGTATATACGATCCATATACTCCGTGTCATCTATGAGGTACCGAGGAGACAAACATTGGTTCTCGGACTCCCTCCGATGTGATTCAATATTTGTATTTCTCGGATGAAAGTGTATCATCGTGCGTCCATCCATCAAAAAGGACAAACGGTCGCCAAAATGTACAATGTATCATATATCAATGTACATCTCGAATCGATCGATTACCAGCTAGATTTTACACGATTCTTCAATTTTTATCTTTCGATAATTAACGAAACACGGTTTTTCCGAAACGAATTACAATATATCAATATTCGTGGAAATTAATAAGAATAAAAACGGAAAAAAGGATCGAAACGAATCCAAGATCGGATACGTGTTGAATCGTTGTAAGGAAATAACACGGTCTACGCGTACACGACGGTTTTAACGACGGTAAACATCAGGCTAATTGACTTACATCGGTCAGACACAGATTCGACCATTGAATTGATCGTCCTCGGAATCGACGACGAGACATTCACTCGCTACGCGTTCAAGAATACCATTCATTACAGTGACTTACAGTTCAAAGATATTCGAAATAATATAAACCTGTGAAAAAATCAATACACAAAAAAAAATCTACAAAAATAAATGAAATTAATCGATTTATCCAAATATTCAAATTAAAATAAAATAACATTCCAATTGATTAATAATTCGTCGAGCATCGTTTCGAGCATAGTTATATGCTGGAAATTAGAAATCGTTGATTCGCAATCGTCTTGCATCGTTGGAATATTTCGAATGTGGGGCGAGCCACGCGACACACCACGAAGAAGAATACACGTTATTACGAGCGTTGCGCAACGAACTTTCGTGGTTAATGGATGAAAAGTGAAACTGCGTAACGTTGCGGTTAAGTAGTAAAAACCAGGGACGAGAAATATTCAACGTGGAAACGCTTCAATGAGAATTCAACCGATATAAAACGCCGCTTGAACAAAGTTTCTCGTTTAGTTTATATATATATATATATAGGGGATAAAGCTATCTATTGTAATACAGTGAGATTGAAACCGGTCGAGACGCCGGAATAAAATATAAAATATGAATCTAGCTTATTATATACATGTTATATAGTATATACGTATACTTTCCCGCTATTTGTATCCACCATTATTGCTATCCTCGCTTCTGACGTCATGGTCGTAGACGATCGTTCCTTCTTACTCTTCTCCCGATTCTTTTCATTCTTGTATATATATATATATATATATATATATATACACA